AAATGGTTCACCGAAGAGAGCCTGGAAGATACATCAATAGCTATATCTGATCACATGAACCAATACTTTCCCATCCCTATTCTTCTTGTTTTTCTAAGTCAACAAACATGACCTACAATAGATCTCTGGTCCATCTCCTAAATTTAGTCTACACGTACACACATGTCACTAAGTCTTGTTCATGACGCGCAAAGCCACTAAGTCATGAACTACTAATGGTTCTCAAACTCAAGCAAAACTCGGCTGACGAAGTAATTTCACTAACCACGTGAAAATAATAATCCACTAGCCCAACAGACTAACCCTAGTATGAAATGGTTCACCGAAGAGAGCCTGGAAGATACATCAATAGCTATATCTGATCACATGAACCAATACTTTCCCATCCCTATTCTTCTTGTTTTTCTAAGTCAACAAACATGACCTACAATAGATCTCTGGTCCATCTCCTAAATTTAGTCTACACGTACACACATGTCACTAAGTCTTGTTCATGACGCGCAAAGCCACTAAGTCATGAACTACTAATGGTTCTCAAACACAATAAGGAAATAATAAATAAATACAACCAATCATGTATAACGATATCATGACATGTCAAATATATTAAAATAAAGATCATAAAATATGAACAGTAACTATGAACAGTACGGTGGGTGTGTACAATAGCAGTGAGCAGATAAAAAATAATTCCTTTTTTCAAAATAGATTTCCTTTAAATTATGTATAATTATTCTAAAATGATTCTTTTCCAAAATAAATTCTTTTAAATTATTATAATTATCCTAAAATAATTTTGTTATCAAAATAAATTCTTTTAATTAATAATAACTATTCTAAAAATAAATTTTTGTCAAAATAAAATTCTTTTCCTTACAGTATATTATTTATTGTTATCATTTAGTATTATTCATCAAACAAACCCACGCAGATAATCATATCACGGTCTAATATATGCAGATAATTCATAACATATCTCAATATTTTAGTAAATAACAAGCTGAGCAACGGAATCTTACCTACGAGGCTAAGGGCCTGCGGACGAGGCTGCGACGCCGCTACGGATGTGGCACGATAGT